CTCACAATGACTAAGACTTGAAAATGTAACATTTTAATGAAACGATTGTTATCATTTTGCCATGACAGTATTTTAAGACTTTTATACAAGTGGGCTAAACTTGATATGTATATATCTTCTGCTTCTTTTGATATTCAAAATATGTATAGTGCCCATGCAAAACCGGCCTTAGTCTATATAATTGCTGCTTGAACAACTCGTAGAAACAACTTAACCCTCGACACTGCCTTCTTTTTGAGTCCTTATTATAAGTTGTGGCTTTTTGCATTTCTAAATGATTGTATGTATCGGGTTCCAAAAAGAGATAGACACTGGCTTTGAGATAACTGGTTATAAGGTAAATCAAGAATTTAATTAACTTGAACATTTTGCCTTTAGAAATGCCCTTACTTTAGGTCCATCGTCTCAACGCTGCTGCACCTATTTGAAACACATTCCCGTATCAATGTTGATGGCATATCTCTTTGTCTAAAAACTCAAACTTCATGGGAGATGCAGTATTTTGTTCATAGTGTAATAGGTTAGAACAGCAAACTTGTGAAGTTGGGTTGTAATATTTGTATATCCAGCAGCTATTGTGACTGAACTGGGCGGGTAATAGCCTGCTGCAGACGTGATGACATGATCATCAAGAAAATGTAACTACAATTTCCCTATTCCCAGTAAAAGCTTACCACTTTATCTAAATCTAGCTCTAATCCATGTTTTGCCTGGCTGTGTTGTGTTGCTAAACATTGCTTGCTACATGTAGAAATTAGTAGACATTGTTGATGCAGAGGTGACATTGTTGATTGTATTTATTTGTTTTAATGTTGTGGCGTGGTATTGACTCTTTATTTAATATGTTACTGTACTTTTGTTTTCTGCTTCTTGTTCAAATCAAATCAAATCAAATCAAATCAGGTTTTATTTATATAGCACATTTAAAAGCGATTTTTGGTCGAGCCAAAGTGCTGTACATGTAATAAAAACACATTACTACAATCACAATAAACGACAATAAATTACAACAGATATATCTTAAAAACAAAATAAAAATAAAACACATGGAAAAGTCGGGAGTCGTGCTCCGCTCTAACTAGAAAGCCAGAGAGAAGAAGTGTGTTTTTAGTTTAGATTTAAAAACCCCTAGGGTCTGGGCCGACCTCACATGGAGGGGCAGAGTGTTCCAGAGCCTAGGGCCAGCTGCTGCGAAGGCTCGGTGCCCTCTGGTTTTTAGCCTGGTCTTGGGCACTACCAGCAGCAGCTGGTCAGCAGACCTTAAAGCTCTGGCTGGGTGTAGCGCTGGAGCAGTTCAGCTATATAGGCCGGAGCCAGCCCATTTAGTGCTTTAAAAACAAATAAAAGGATTTTAAAATCAATTCTGAACCGAACTGGAAGCCAGTGTAGTGAGGCCAGAATAGGGGTGATGTGGTCACGCTTTTTGTGGCCAGTCAGCAAACGTGCAGCAGCGTTTTGGACTAGCTGTAGGCGTTTAATTGAGGCCTGGTCCATACCCACATACAGAGCGTTACAATAGTCCAGTCTCGAGGTTACAAAGGCGTTAATAACCCTTTCTAAGTCATTAAAAGATAAATACGACTTGGTTTTGGCCAATAGTCTTATTTTAAAAAAGCAGGATTTTACTACGGTGCTGACCTGCTTGTCGAATTTAAAAGTGCTAGTGAAGGTCACTCCAAGGTTCATGACCGAGGGGAGGATGTTTTTTTTGATAGAGCCCAGAATATCAACCGGAGAGGCTGGAGGTTGCGGTCCAAAAAAGATGACCTCAGTCTTGCTCTCGTTGAGGTTGAGAAAGTTTTTGCTCAGCCAGGATTTTATCTCTGCTAAGCAGTCCATCAACTGCTGTAGTGAGTGTTTGACATTTGCTTTGAGAGGCAGATAGATCTGTACATCGTCGGCGTAGCAGTGGAAGGGAATGTTATGTTTTGTGAGATTTGAACCTAGGGGCAGTATGTACAGTAGAAAAAGGATGGGGCCCAGAATCGAGCCTTGGGGAACCCCACAGGTAAGAGGGGCTTTGGCAGAGGAGAAGGCACCTAGCTGCACTGAGAAGCTACGGTCTGTCAGGTAGGACCTGAACCATGCAAAGGCAGAGCCTGTGATGCCAGCGGACTGTTCAAGCCATGACAGCAGGATGCTATGGTCCACAGTGTCAAAGGCAGCTGTCAGGTCTAACAGCACCAAGACAGCTGGGCTACCTGAGTCGGCGGCTAGGAGCAGATCATTAAAAACTCTTAAAAGGGCTGTTTCAGTGCTGTGCATGGGTTTGAAGCCAGACTGAAACTTTTCATGGATTCCATGGATGGTTAAAAAAGACTGCAGCTGGGCGTAGACTACTCGCTCCAGGGCTTTTGATAAAAAAGGTAGCTGGGAGATGGGCCTAAAATTTGCGAGAATGGAGGGGTCGAGATTTTTCTTTTTAAGGAGTGGCTTAACCACGGCATGTTTGAAGGCAGCTGGGACACATCCTGAGGTAAGAGAGGTGTTTAAAAGTAATAAAATACTTGCTCCAACTGAATCAAAAACATCTCTGAGAAGGCGAGAGGGAATGCTGTCTGACGTGCAGTTTGTCGGCCGCAGGTGCTTGACCACATCCGAGAGAGAAGAGAGGGATACAGGCTCAAAGTGGTCGAGGACAGCAGGGCACAGAAAAGGAGCAGGATCTGGGGTAGCACTAGTGTGGGCTAGCCTAAGAGCAGATACCTTTTCAATAAAAAATGTAAAAAACTTATCACAGAGAGTAGTCGATGGGACAATAGAAGAAACATCACAGGGATTAATGATAGAGTTGAGGACATTAAAAAGAACCTGAGGTTTATGGCTGTTTTTGGAGATTAACAGAGAAATGTGCTCTGTTTTGGCTGCTTTGACTGCCGTCTGGTAGTCAGAAAGGCAAGCACGAAGGATTTCTAGGGAGACATGGAGTTTATCCTTTTTCCATTTTCTCTCTGCACGCCTGCAAGCGCGTCTGAGAGCACGAGTACAGTCATTGAGACACGGCTCTGATAGAACTTTGGTGCATCTAAGCGTAAAAGGAGCAACAGAATCCAGTATTAGTGTGCATGTCGAGTCAAACATGGAGATAAGCTCATCAGCATTAAAAGCACAGTTCACATCTAATTTACAGATCGGAGAAGCATTAAAAACATCAGAGAACTGTGAGGCAGTCAAGGGGTTAATCGAACGCAGACGACGCGCCGGGGCACGTGATTCGACTCCTGCGGAAGGGATGGAGGTTGTAAACAGAACCGGTAAATGGTCTGAGATACGCGTTGCTGCACATATTTCATCCACAGATACAGACAGTCCAAACGATAATACTAAGTCCAAAGTGTGTCCTTTTTCGTGTGTTGGGCCAGCCACGGACTGAACAAGACCAAAGAATCAAGGAGATTTAAAAAGTCCCTAACCAGAGGTTTGGACTCGCAACACACATGGACATTGAAGTCTCCGGAGATCAAAACACGATCATATTTCACCATGATCCCGGACAGAAAGTCAGAAAAGTCATTTATGAAATCCTTATTACACTTTGGCGGACGATACACGACTGCGCAGAGTATAGGCGAGGCCGGGTTCAGTTCAAAAAGCTGCAACTCAAAGCTGGCATAGCTAGTTACAGGGTGAAGCAATCGGCATTGGAGGCTAGCTCTAAACACTGATGCTATGCCCCCACCATGGCCAGTGGCACGGGGGGAGCTGAAGAATGTACAGTCAGGAGGAAGAAGTTCAGAGAACGGTGTATACTCGCCAGCGTGGACCCAGGTCTCCGTCAGGAACATAAAATCCAGTTCACGAGAGGTGAAGAAGTCGTTTAGCAGGAACGTTTTGTTTGCTATCGACCTAGCATTTAGCAAAGCCATGCAAAGTTTTCGCTCCGGGCTTGCCGAAGGTGTAGTGCGTCTCAGCTGACGAAGATGTGCGTGTTGAACGCCGCGCGGGCCGGGAGCAGTCAGTCGGGCAGGAGGAGCTGCCAGCGGGCCCATCAGAGTCCGCAACTCCGGAAAAACGGGGCGAATCCACCGATCCCTCACATGGCGTGCAGCGGGAGGGCCATGACATCCGAGGCGTGGATAATTCACAGAAGAAGCCGTCAGGTATGCCTTAAGATGGACCAGTGCACCACCACGCTTTCCCCGTCGTCGAAAGCGCTTTCGGCGAGGCAGGATGCAGGGCGACCGGCGCAGGTAGGTGGGAATATCCGACAGTAGAGGGGGGTGGGACGATTTATGGTTGCCAGATGTAGGTTTGGGCAGCAATATCAACTCCAGTGAGGGTCTGAGGTGGAGGAGAGCTTGGCGATCATAAACGAGCAGAGCAGAGACATTCTGACAAACATAAAACAAAAACAGGATAGCTAAAGGTAGAGAGCTGAGCGAGCGGCGAGCCGACACAAGCGCTATTGAATCACGTCACGTCACTTGATTTTTCCCTACCTCCAGGCCTGAAGGATCCAGTCTGTCAAACAGTCCTCTGTGATGAAGCCAACATTCATCATGAACTTGTTGCTCTGCATTGCTTCGGTATTGTCCTGAGAACGTCCGTATTTAGTTTCTGTCATTGTCTTTTTTGTGTCTTGAAGTCCTCTGTCTGTAAATCACTGGTTTTGATACGTCAAATGCTCGGCTTACACTGTCACATTTACAGAAATGGTAATTAATACATGTTGTCATTTCCTTGTATTTGAGGTAGTTTTAATTTAAATAAAACAATGTGCTTTTACAAAACAAATATGAATTGCTACCGGTAATGACATCTAAGGATTAGCTGCACATGTTTAGAAGTACGTTGGTTAGCACTCTTGCATATATATAAATAAGAAGATTAATACCACTCTCATCATGCATGGGTTTTTAAATGATGCTGCAGTACAAAGTCTGAAATCAGGGATCAGAACTATCCTGGCTCCGTCAAGACTTTGAAAAACAATACAGAACCTCTAAACCTTGCTAATTAAATCTCAGACAAAACCCTTTGTAGCCCTCTGTAGTAAACACAACTTGATATTTGTACAACGTCTTTATTTATACAATCTTGATCCAACGTGTTGAGTACGTGTTGGTTTCACTTGTGGACAGGAGAGAGTGACTAATTTATGAAAAACATGCCAGTCTCCTTTAGTATGTTCTTCTTTTAAAAATAACTCTCTTTTCATACATTCATAAATTATTCAGAATGATGTGTGACAAATATATAACTGTAGTTTCTTTTTTTTATAAATACAATCATTAGTTTCTTACTTAAGAATGCATATTACACAACATTTCTTCAGTACACTTTAGTTACCAAATGTTTTCACCTGTCTTGCTTTCACGAGTGATTATAGGTGATGCACAGTAAACTCATGAGCTTCAGTGCAGCTCATAATGTGTTTGCTGCTTCAATTTGTCTTTTTAGTTTTTCATGTCCACTTTCCCCAGTCTGATTTCACAATGCAGAAAAAACATCTGTTTTTCAGATTTTCAGAATCTACCAAGGTATGTTCCCTTTTCATTAATTTACTAACACAGTCATTAACCCCCAAGTCATTATTTTCTTAAAACATTTATAACTGGTTAGCTTGTGTTGTCGTTTTGTTCATTTTGTGTGCCGGGGTCAGATTATTGTGTTTCTGTTGATGCAGTTACTTTCCCTTTAAGGTGAGGGGGAGGTTGACTTATGTTGATTTGGCGTAGGCCTCGTAGAGGGAGGTGAGGCGGGCCTGGAGGTCCTGGGCGTAGGGCTCCAGTTTTACTTTCAGATCCTCAACGTATGGGGCGGCCATTTCTTGCACCTGATCGGCTCTCTGCATCAGCTGATGGTAAACCTTCTCGGTCACCGGGGCCACACGCTCCTGGAAGTCCTGCAGGTGCTGGTCCACCTTCAGCTTCAGGTCATCGGTGTAGGGCCCGAGCTGAACCTGCAGGTCCTTCACACTCTGCTTCAGCTCCTCGCTCTTCTGCTCCAGGGTGGCTCTCAGGGCCTCAGTGTCAAGGGACTCAGCGTAGGGGGCCAGCTCCTGTTTGAGCTGCTCCACTCTCTGCTGGATCTGGACCTCCATGTTGTCGGTGTCGGGCTTCAGGGCAGCGGCCAGCTCCCTTACCACACGCCCGGTCTCTCTGTTGAGTTTGTGGATCATGTCCTTAGCTGTAGGGGGAAGCTGGTCATGCACGTCGGAGGCAAAATAGAAGGTAGCCATGAACCCGTATCCCAGAAGGTCACTAGAAAGGAGCGAGAACAATGGGATGTTACCTTTAATTCGAATTCAGTGAGGAGAAATTGCATATCAGTTTGCAATATACGTTTTTTTGTTTGCATCATTCGAATTTCGACAATGGTAACAATGGTCTTGTCTAGACTTACTTGACATGCTTGCCAAACTGTGATTTCTCGATCATCTGGAGGGTGTCATCAGCTGTCTCTTTTGCCTTTGCGACATAGTCATGGAAGGCTTCAGTCAGCAATTCAATCTGTGGCTTGGGTGCATCAGCATATAAGATGTTGGCATTGCAGCCTGTTGAATAGACAGAAAAAACATTTTGAAGAACAGTTGGAAGGTTCAAAATACTTCAGAGTTTTCAGGTATTTTAACCCAACAAATATTCCGAAGGAGGTAAAGTGGCACTATACTGAACTTCAAAATCCAAGAGGCATGTGTGAGTGCGTGTGAATGAGCATTAGGTTAGATGATGAGCAGTCTGGCTCCTTATATGGTCACCCATACAAGGTTCCATATCAGTACACACCAGTGTATTAATGTGTGTGTGAATCGGTTAATTTCACATTCAAGGAATTTCTGGGTGTTATTTAAAAGTGATTTGAGTGGTCCAATAATCTCATTGCAATTCTATATTTGTCCTTGAAGTCTTTGACTTGAGCGTCACGCTCCAAAACAAATAGGGATATTTTTCCACCATACTCACCAGTGAAAAGGGCAAGGACGAGCACAACAAGGACCTTCATGGCTCTTATATCTTAATAACAAGGAGATACAAAGTTAGCAAAGCCTGTTCACTAAGATTTAGATTAAAAAGAAAAAATAAAGAAGCTACTCTGAGCGAATCCTTCATCATCTCACCTGAGTTTGTTGTTGTATCTGCAAATCCACTTGGCACTGCTTGTGTTGAGCTGGTGAGGTTTTGCAGCTTATAAAGCAATCCGGACTCTAATGATCCCAAAGTACAAGGTCTAGTGTCATGCTGTCACCTTGCCTCACCCTGCTATCCTCACAGACACCCAGTGCCAGGCACCACGCAGCAATCATGCACAACTCCATATTGTTGCACCAATGCACACACACACACCAAGCAAATCATTTATTTTAAACAGTTTCATATGTCAGTTATCATCTACCAAACAGTATTGATTTAGTTATGTGCCTTTTTATATTTATTTGGCCTAAATATGTGTGATTCCTCTGTGTTAGAGTGTGACTAAATCCTCAAGTGTAACCTTAAATGGACCTTGTCCTCAAATGCCCTCCTGTCCTCAAAGGTATGTCAGTGACACAGCTCGAGTCCTACCTCTCAAACCGGAAACACTTTGTCACCATCAATGACTGCAGTTCCCCATCGACCCCAGTCAACCAAGGTGTACCTCAAGGCTCTGTGCTTGGACCCCTCCTCTTCACCATTTACATTCTCCCACTTGGTCAAATCATCCGCCACCATGGTCTCAGCTTTCACTCATACGCTGATGACACACAGCTCTATCTCTGCACCAAACCATCCACTCAGCTCCCCCTTCAATCCCTTGTCAACTGCCTACAGGACATAAAAAACTGGATGTCATAAAACCTGCTCAAACTAAACAGCAATATAACAGAGCTCATGATTGTGGCTCCCAAGGTCCAGCTCTTGACGGCTGCTCCATCTCTCCGTCCACTGAAGTCCGCAAACTGAGAGTCATCCTGGACACCACCCTCTCCTTCCAGGCTCACATCAAATCTGTCACCAAATCTGCTTTCTACCACCTCAAAAACATGGCCTTCACTCATACGCGCTTTCATCACCTTTTTTGCACGTCTGTCCGTCCTGGGAGAGGGATCCCTCCTCTGTTGCTCTCCCTGAGGTTTCTCCCATTTTCCCCTTTAAACTGTGGGTTTTTCTCTGGAAGTTTTTCCTTGTACGATGTGAGGGTCTAAGGACAGAGGGTGTCATATTGTCATACTGATATTCTGTACAAACTGTGAAGTCCACTAAGACAAATGTAACATTTGTGATATTGGGCTATATAAATAAACATTGATTGATTGATTGATCACCTCCCACCTCGACTATTGCAATGGAGTCCAGTCCGGGGTTCTCAGCAAAGCCCTGGAGAGGCTCCAATACTTCCAGAACTCTGCCGACAGGCTTCTCACCCGCACCAAGCCCTGGCGACAAATCACTCCCACCCTCCTCCACCTTCACTGGCTGCCGGTCAAGTCCCGGATTCAGTACAAAACACTCCTCCTCACCTACACATCTCTCCATGCCCTCGCCCCCCATTACTTATCGGACCTCCTCCTTCCCTACACCCCTTCTCGGAGTCTGCGGTCCTCAGACACTGCTCTCCATTCCCCTCTGAACTGTTGGTGACAGGGGGTTCAGTGTTGTGGCCCCCACCATCTGGAATGCACTTCCTGCAGAGATCTGCAATGCTGCTTCCCTGGACATCTTCAAGTCATCATTAAAAACTCACCTGTTTACCATGGCCTTTGACCCCTAACCCATCACAGTCCCCCTGCTTCCACTCCTACTGCTATTTATTTAATTTAAATTGTTTTACTTCATTATTTGCCCCTTTTTTTTGTTTGTTTGTTTGTTGACCATGTAAAGCGCTATACAAATTGAATCTATTATTATTATTATTATTATTATTGTAATCACTTTTATGTTAGCTCTGCGTCGCCACAGATAACGCTTTGCCAAGAATGGCAAAATCCCTCTCCTTATGTCTCTGATGTCCAGCTTTGATTAGATTTACAGTGGTTGATTTATTGTCACAATTAGCTTGCCATGTTGCCAACCAACGTCACGGTAGCTTATGGTTCTAGTCTGTGTCATGCTATGAGTCAGAGATGGAGTACTCGAGTCCTGGACTCTGACTCGAGTCGGACTCCAGTGTCGATTTTCGGGACTCGTGACTCGACTCGGACTCGCGCACTGATTGACGCGACTCGGACTTGGACTCGTGAATTCTCGCGCACAATGACTTGGACTCGGACTCGGACTCGTGAATTCTGGCGTACGATGACTTGGACTCGGACTCGTGAATTTTTCCCCCCACGATGACTCGGACTCGACTTGTACATTGACGCTCCGACTTGGACTCGGACTCGAGCAAGTTTTCTCTGGAGTCTGATGTCCTCTATCCTGGCGTGTGCACCTCGAGGCGAGTTCACGTTCTGGGCCCCGCTATTCCAGTCTAAAGATGTCTAGAGACACACCCCGCATCGTGCTGTATGCTTTCACACATTCTGCTTCCACATTGGAAAAGAGCAGCGCAAAATGCTCGTTATGTGGAAAAAATATTGAAGAGAAGGATCGAGTTCAGACATATAGGCTGTCTTGAACACTATCATCAGAGTAACGTGATCTAATCAATAAATAAAGATTCAGCCGATAACACAAAAACACATGGCTACTTTTGCATGCTAAGTAGCCATGTGCTTTCTGGGGCTTAATCTTCATCAGTTCACCGATTTAACCGGTAAAAGTTCCTTCAAAATAAGAGTCCCGATCTTATTACTATCAAAATAAAAGTGCAAAACGAAAACTTTACCTTAGGAAAATATTGGCATACAAATATAATCACTTCTCTAAAAGGTTACTCATTTTAAATATAGTTAGACATATTATAGGTCATTTACAATAATAATAATAATAATATTAATATTAGTAATAAGCTTTATATTTGTATAGCACCTATTACAAGAATTGTAGCCAAACTCGCTTCACAGCAGTTCAATAGACAGATTAGTATAAAAGCAATGTAGAGGAGCAGCTACATTACAACACCTATATCCACAAAGATTAATACATGAAGACTTGTGACTCGGACTTGACTTGGACTCTTCTTAGGTGACTCGGACTTGGACTCGGACTCGAGCACAGGTAATGATGACTCGGACTCGGACTCGACTCGGACACTCCTTGGGTGACTCGGACTCGACTACGACTCTCCCTTGGTGACTCGGACTTGGACTCGGACTCGAAGAGTGGTGACTCGAGAGTGACTTGGACTCGTGAATTGGTGACTTGATTACAACACTGCTATGAGTCCTATGAGTCAGTTTGGCCAAAGGTCAGCAGACACCAACACCGTCAGCTTTCAGAGGACAAAGTAGCCTCAGTTTCACACAAGGCATACTATATATGCAACATTTTAATTTCATCCATTTTTTCTATAAACAGGATAAGGTCCTACTCACAATGGCTAAGACTTGAAAATGTAACATTGTAATGAAACGATTGTTATCCTTTTGTCATGACAGTATTCTAAGACTTGTATACAAGTGGGCTTAACTTGTATATATATATATATATATTGTACATATCTTCTGCTTCTTTTGGTATTCAAAATATGTATAGTGCCCATGCATAACCGCCCTTAGTCTATAGAATTTCTGCTTGAACAACTCGTAGAAACAACTTAACCCTTGACACTGCCGTCTCTTTGAGTCCTTATGATAAGTTGTGGCTTTTTGCATTTCTAAATGAATGTATGTATCGGGTTCCAATAATACCCCATTCACACCAACGGTGTTTCGGGGCCGGTTCGGTGCTGGTGCTTGAAAAGCACCGGGTTTTCCTGTTCGCACCGCAGCGGAGCAGCCTCTAAACTCCGGAATCCGATTCGTTTCGAGCACCAAAAAGTTGTCCGTCTAGAAGCAAGAACCGCATACGTCACGCTTACGTCGGAGGGGGGCGAGATTAACCTGAGCTAACAGTTAAGGCGAGTACGGCAAATAAAAGTTGTAACAAGCAGTAGTGCTGAGCAAAGTGACTAGAACGCAACCACACACTTGTTAAAAAAAAACACACTTTATAAAGTCAGGCAACACTAACCAGGCTTTGTGTGATTCTGTTTATTTGTAACTTACTTTGACCATCCGTTCGCTGTTATTGATCATTGTGGAGAGCAGGCAGACGTTTTGTTTGTTATTATAGCAGCTATCGGATGGAATCAATACATGGGCTGCACAGGTTGTCATGTCCGACTATCACAAGTAGAATCATAATGAAAAATACGTCGGTAAAAAGTGGCTGGAGAAAACGGCTTAGCAAGTAGTCAGTTTAGGTTGCTATGCTAACATCACCCATGTTATACCAGAGAAACTTTCATAACAGCGTTGTGATGCCAAACAGCGTCAATTCAGACTGACACACATTCACTTAACTATATATGTCAATTTATTGAACATGTCAGAAACAAAACATACATCAATACTAATAATAATATATATTGCTTCTTCCTTTTCTTCCTTCTCACTCATAATAATAATAATTATACCAAAGTACAATAAAATAAATAATAATGATAATGCAAAAAAAAATAAAATAAAAAGAAACAACAACAATAAATCTTAAATTAGTCTCTGTCGTGTTCAACAGGGGCAAGAAGAAGCTTAAAAAACTTTTCTGGTCCTACCCCTTCTAGCGTACATTTTCCTTCCAGTATAAATGAAGTAATTAGGTCATCGTCATCAGCGACATGTTTGTCTTGATACTTTTTTACAAAAACAATCAGGAAGTAATTACTTTTACAATTACAGGAAATAACAAAAGAATTTTTACAGGTACTGTTCATAACCACTAATGGTTTGGCTCTTGAATAATACTTTCATTTTATATAAAGTTGTACAATTTTTTAGTGCATCACTACATTTATTCCACAGACTAACACCTTTTGATGAGATGCAATGAAGTTTGGCATTTGTACGTACGGGTGGTTTTTTGAAAATGCAGTTTCCTCTCAACATGTGCATGCCTTCTCTCCGTGTAAAAAGTCCCTGGACACCATGAGGCAAATGATGATTTGCGGCCTTGTACATAATTTGAATGGTTTTATAGTCAACCAGGTCTTGTAGTTTTAGTGTTTTTAGTTTGATAAATAATTTATTTGTTGGTTCTCTGTACGAAGTTTTGTGTATAACTCGTATTGCTCTTTTTTGCAAAGGGAACTGGGGATATGTATCAGCTGCTTGTGTGACAGTCAGACAGTGAATACTTTAGAGCCGTGTGAGCTAACCCGGAGCTAACGGGAGAATACACTCGTGGAAGAGCAGCAGCACTGCAGCGGTCGGTAAATGCCGCTGAAACACATTAATAAACAATGAACCACGGCACTCTGGAGAAAAGTATAAGGTTGGAGAAGTCGTTATTTAATTTAATCTGGCTTCGTATGATTAAAAGCAACGCAGTCCCCGGCCCGTTGTTGTTGTGAGGTGAGCTCCGTTGGGGAGAAAATCAGCGACGTAAACTGTGACGTCATGACGCAGCAGCGGCAGCACCAGTCGGGCTCTGAGCGGTGTGAAAAGAGCCGGAGCTAAACCGAAGTACCGGTTCTGAACCTGAAAAGCTCTAGCACGGAGCTTGAACCGGAGTTGCGTTGGTGTGAAAGGGGTATAAGAGATAGACAATGGCTTTGAGATAACCGGTTATAAGGTAAATCAAGGATTTAATTGGCTTGAACATTTTGCCTTTAGAAATGCCCTTAGTTTAAGTCGATCGTCTCAAGGTCTGCTGCACCTATTTGCAACACATTCCCGTATCAATGTCGATGTCATATCTCTTTGTCAAAAAACTCAAACTTCATGGGAGATAAAGTATTTTGTTCATAGTGTAATAGGTTAGAACAGCAAACTTTCCGAAGTTGGGTTGTAATGTTTGTATATCCAGCAGCTATTGTGACTGAAGTACGTTGGTTAGCACTCTTGCATATATATTAGGGCTGTCAGTCGATTAAAATATTTAATCGCGATTAATCGCATGATTGTCCATAGTTAATCGCGATTAATCGCAAATTAATCGCACATTTTTTATCTGTTCTAAATGTACCTTAGAGGGATATCTTTCAAGTTTTTAATACTCTTATCAACATATGAGTGGACAAATATGCTTTATATGTTTGTTTATTATCATTTGAACAATGACAAATATTCTCATGAATATTAAACACAACAACCTCTGAACATTACAAATATTCGCCTCAATTCAACCTGGAACCTCTCTCATACAATAATACTGTGTGTGTGTGTGTGTGTGTGTGTGTGTGTGTGTGTGTGTGTGTGTGTGTGTGTGTGTGTGTGTGTGTGTGTGTGTGTGTGTGTGTGTGTGTGTGTGTGTGTGTGGAGACACTGTGATGGATCGTTGAGCTATGTGCAGCTCAAGGCAGATATGCTCGAATGGGAGCTGCCTGGACGCTGCAATAATGTTGCGCGTACTATCCGTGCTGAGTGCGCTGACTTTTCGTACAATGTCCCACTGTCTGGCTAACTGCATAAAGTCAAGTGCTCGGCGCAGTTGTCGGCAAAATGTCATTGAAACAGCTCCTTATATCCGTTAGCGCAGCTAGCTAGCACCAGATGCTAACAACAACAACACGTAAGGTGTGCCTCGCTCGCGCGAGTCGCGCCACACATACACACTCCCTCCCGGTCCTCCCGATGGCCAGTCCGGGCCTGCCAGTGAGCGTGGAAGTGTGGTCTGCCACAAGCGGGCGGCAGGAGCGGGGCTGTCAGCATCAGCTTGTCGATGGTATTTTACACTCGATGCGCTCTGAAACTACGGCGGCCGAGGACAAAAAATACACATGCGTTAATCGCGTTAAAATAATTAGTGGCGTTAATTTTTTTTTGCGTTAATTATTATTATAACGCGTTAACTTGACAGCCCTAATATATATAAATAAGAAGATTAATACCACTCTCATCATGCATGGGTTTTAAAATGATGCTACAGTACAAAGTCTGAAATCAGGGATCAGAACTATCCTGGCTCCGTCAAGACTTTACAAAACAATACCTACCAGAAACTCTAAACCTTGCTAATTAAGTCTCAGACAAAACCCATTGTAGCCCTCTGTAGTAAACACAACTTGATATTTGTACAACGTCTTTATTTATACAATCTTGATCCAACGTGTTGAGTACGTGTTGGTTTCACTTGTGGAAAGGAGATACAGAGTGACTAAGTTATGAAAAACATGCCAGTCTCCTTTAGTATGTTCTTCTTTTAAAAATACCTCTCTTTTCAAACATTCATAAATTATTCAGAATGATGTGTGACAAATGTATAACTGTAGTTTCTTTTTTCTATATATACAATAATTAGTTTCTTACTTAAGAATGCATATTACACAACATTTCTTCAGTACACTTTAGTTACCAAATGTTTTCACCTGTCTTGCTTTCACGAGTGATTATAGGTGATGCACAGTAAACTCATGAGCTTCAGTGCAGCTCATAATGTGTTTGCTGCTTCAATTTGTCTTTTTAGTTTTTCATGTCCACTTTCCCCAGTCTGATTTCACAATGCAGAAAAAACATCTGTTTTTCTGATTTTCAGAATCTACTAAGGTATGTTCCCTTTTCATTAATTTACTAACACAGTCATTAACCCCCAAGTCATTATTTTCTTAAAACATTTATAACTGGTTAGCTTGTGTTGTCGTTTTGTTCATTTTGTGTCCCGGGGTCAGATTATTGTGTTTCTGTTGATGCAGTTACTTTCCCTTTAAGGTGAGGGGGAGGTTGATTTATTTGGATTGGGCTAGGCCTCGTAGAGGGAGGTGAGGCGGGCCCGGAGGTCCTGGGCGTAGGGGTCCAGCTTTACTCTCAGATCCTCAACGTATAGGGCGGCCATTGGATGTTGTCGGTGTATTGCTTCAGGGCAGCTGCCAGCTCCGTTTCCACACGCCAGGTCTCTCTGCTGACTTTTTGGATCATGTCCTTAGCTGCAGGGGGAAGCTGGTCGTGCACGGCTTCGGAAAAATTGAAGGCCTGGTCTTGCACTTCAAAGGCAAAATAGAAGGCCGCCTTTAACCCGTCTCCCAGACGGGCACTAGAAAGGAGCGAGAACAATGAGATGTTACCTTTAATTAGAATTCAGTGAGGAGAAATTGCATATCAGTTTGCAGTATACTTATTTTTGTTTGCATCATTAGAATGTCGACAATGGTAACAATGGTCTTGTCTAGACTTACTTGACACCCTGGACAAACGGTGATTTGCTGATCATCTGGAGGGTGTCATCAGCTGTCTCTTTTGCCTTGGCGACATAGTCCCAGAAGGCCTCATTCAGCAATTCTATCTGTGGCTTGGGTGGGGCCATTTCTTGAACCTTCAGCTTCAGGTCATCGGTGTAGGGCCCGAGCTGAGCCTGCAGGTCCTTCACACTCTGCTTCAGCTCCTCGCTCTTCTGCTCCAGGGTGGCTCTCATGGCCTCTGTGTCAAGGGACTCAGCATAAGGGGCCAGCTCCTGTTTGAGCTGCTCCACTCTCTGCTGGATCTGGACCTTCATGTTGTCGGTGTAGGGCTTCAGGACTTCCTGGGCAGCGGCTAGCTCCCTTTCCACACGCCCCTTCAGCTCTTCGGCCTCTGTGATTACTTTGTGGATCATGTCCTTAGTTGCAGGGCGAAGCTGCTCGTGCATGGTGAGCGCAGAATGGGCGGCCACATATTTAGTTTGATCCAGACGGGCACTAGAAAGGAGCGAGAACAATGGGATGTTACCTTTAATTCGAATTCTTTGAGGAGAAATTGCATATCAGTTTGCAGTATTCTTTTTTTAGTTTGCATCATTAGAATGTCGACAATGGTAACAATGGACAATGGTCTGGCTAGACTTACTTGACACCCTGGCCAAACGGTGATTTCTTGATCATCTGGAGGGTGTCATCAGCTGTCTCTGTTGCCTTGGCGACATAGTCCCAGAAGGCCTCAGTCAGCAACTCCATCTGGGGCTTGGGTGCATCAGCAAAGAAGATGTTGGCATTGCAGCCTGTTGAACAGACAGAAAAACATTTTGAAGAACAGTTGGAAGGTTAAAAATATTTCAGAGTTTTCAGGTATTTTAACCCAAAAAATATTCCAAAGGAGGCAAAGTGGCACTATACTGAACTGCCAAATCCCAGAGGCATGCGTGAGTATGTGTGAATGAGCATTAGGTTAGATGATGAGCAGTCTGGCTCCTTATATGGTCTCCCATACAAGGTTCCATATCAGTACACACCAGTGTATTAATGTGTGTGTGAATCGGTTAATTTCACATCCAAGGAATTGCTGGGTGGACCAATAATTTGAGTGGTCCAAAAATCTCAATGCAATTCTATATTTGTCCTTGAAGTCTTTTGACTTGAGTGTATCAGTTGATGTCACGCTCCAAAACAAATAGGAATATTTTCCCACCATACTCACCAGTGAAAACGGCAAGGACGAGCACAACAAGGACCTTCATGGCTCTTATATCTTAATAACAAGGAGATACAAAGATAGTTAGCAAAGTATGTTCACTAAGATTTAGTTTAAAAAGAAAAAATACAGAAGCTACTCCGAGCCAATCCTTCATCATCTCACCTGAGTTTGTTGTTGTATCTACAAATCCACTTGGCACTGCTTGTGAGGTTCTGCAGCTTATAAAGCAATCCGGACTCTAATGATCCCAAAGTCCAGGGGCGAGTGTCTTGCTGTCACCTTGCCTCACCCTGCTATCCTCACAGACAGCCAGTGCCAAACACCACGCAGCAATCATGCACAACCCCATATTGTTGCACCAATGCATAGACACACCAAGCAAATCAGTTATTTTAAACATATTCATTTGTCAGTTATCATATACCAAACATTATTGATTTAGTTATGTGCCTTTTTATATTTATTTGGCCTAATTATATGTGATTCCTCTGTGTTAGAGTGTAACTAAATCCTCAAGTGTAACCTTAAATGGACCTTGTCCTCAAAAGCCCTCCTGTCCTCAAAGGTATGTCAGTCACAAAGCTCGAGTCCTACCTCTCAAAACGGAAACACTTTGTCAGCATCAGTGACTGCAGTTCCTCATCAGCCCCAGTCAACCAAGGTGTACCTCAAGGCTCTGTGCTTAGGCCCCTCCTCTTCACCATTTACATGCTCACACTTGGTCAAATCATCCGCCACCATGGTCTCAGCTTTCACTCATACGCTGATGACACACAGCTCTATCTCTGCACCAAACCATCCACTCAGCTCCCCCTTCAATCCCTTGTCAACTGCCTACAGGACATAAAAAACTGGATGTCATAAAACCTGCTAAAAATAAACAGCAATATAACAGAGCTCATGATTGTGGCTCCCAAGGTGCAGCTCTTGACGGCTGCTCCATCTCTCCGTCCACTGAAGTGCGCAACTTGAGAGTCATCCTGGACACAGCCCTCTCCTTCCAGGCTAACATCAAATCTGTCACCAAATCTGCTTTCTACCTCCTCAAAAACATTTCCAGACTTCACGGCCTTCACTCTCTGACTGCGTGGCAGAAACACTCATAGGCGCTTTCATCACCTCCCGCCTCGACTATTGCAATTGAGTCCAGTCCGGGGTTCCCAGCAAAGCCCTGGAGAGGCTCCAATATGTCCAGAACTCTGCCACCAGGCTTCTCACGCGCACCAAGCCCTGGCAACACATCACCCCCACCCTAATCCACCTTCACTTGCTGCCGGTCAAGTCCCGGATTCAGTACAAAACACTCCTCCTCAATTACAAGTCTCTCCATGCCCTCGCCCCCCAGTACTTATCGGATCTCCTCCATCCCTACACCCCTTCTCGGAGTCTGCGGTCCTCAGACATTGCTCTCCATTCCCTTCTGAACTGTTGGTGACCGGGCGTTCAGTGTTGCGGCCCCCACCATCTGGAATGCACTTCCTGCAGAGATCCGCAATGCTGCTTCCCTGGACATCTTCAAGTCATCATTAAAAACTCACCTGTTCACCTGGTCTTTGAACCCTAACCCATCACAGTCCCCCTGCTTCCACTCCTACTGCTATTTATTTAATTTTAATTGTTTTACTTTATTATTTGCCCCTTTTGTTTGTTTGTTTGTTTGTTTGTTTGTTTGTTCACCATGTAAAGCGCTTTAGAAATGTAATCTATTATTACTATTATTATTATTATTGTAATCACTTTTATGTTAGCTCTGCGTCGCCACAGATAACGCTTTGCCAAGAATGGCAAAATCCCTCTCCTTATGTCTCTGATGTCCAGCTCTGATTAGATTTACAGTGGTTGATTTATTGTCACAATTAGCTTGCCATGTTGCCAACCAACGTCACGGTAGCTTATGGTTCTAGTCTGTGTCATGCTATGAGTCCTATGAGTCAGTTTGGCCAAAGGTCTGCAGACACCAACACCGTCAGCTTTCAGAGGACAAAGTAGCCTCAGTTTCACACAAGGCATACTATATATGCAACATTTTAGTTTCATCAATTTTTTCTATAGACAGGATAAGGTCCTACTCACAATGGCTAAGACTTGAAAATGTAACATTTTAATTAAACGATTGTTATCATTTTGCCATGACAGTATTCTAAGACTTTTATACAAGTGGGCTTAACTTGTATATATATATATATTGTACATATCTTCTGCTTCTTTTGGTATTCAAAATATGTATAGTGCCCATGCAAAACCGGCCTTAGTCTATAGAATTGCTGCTTGAACAACTCGTAGAAACAACTTAACCCTCGACACTGCCTTCTCTTTGAGTCCTTATGATAAGTTGTGGCTTTTTGCATTTCTAAATTAATGTTTGTATCGGGTTCCAATAAGAGATAGACACTGGCTTTGAGATAACCGGTTATAAGGTAAATCATGGATTTAATTGGCTTGAACATTTTGCCTTTAGAAATGCCCTTAGTTTAAGTCGATCGTCTCAAGGTCTGCTTCACCTATTTGAAACACATTCCCGCATCAATGTTGATGGCATATATCTTCGTCAAAAAACTCAAACTTCATGGGAGATAAAGTATTTTGTTCATAGTGTAATAGGTTAGAACAGCAAACTTGTGAAGTTGGGTTGTAATGTGTGTATATCCAGCAGCTATTGTGACTGAACTGGGTGAGTAATAGCCTGCTGCAGACGTGATGACATGATCATCAAGAAAATGGAACTACAACTTCCCTATTCCCAGTAAAAGCTTACCACTTTATCTAAAACTGGCTCTAATCCATGTTTTGCCTGGCTGTATTTAATATGTTACTGTACTTTTGTTTTCTGCTTCTTGTTGCTCTGCATTGCTTCGGTATTGTCCTGAGAACGTCCGTATTAGGTTTTTGTCATTGTCTTTTTTGTGTCTTGAAGTCCTCTGTCTGTAAATCACTGGTTTTGATACATCAAATGCTCGGCTTACACTGTCACATTTACAGAAATGGTAATTAATACATGTTGTAATTTCCTTGTATTATAGATAGTTTTAATTTAAATAAAACAATGTGCTTTTACAAAACAAATATTCATTGCTACCAGTAATGACATAATCTAAGGATTAGCTGCACATGTTTAGAAGTACGTTGGTTAGCACTCTTGCATATATATAAATAAGAAGATTAATACCACTCTCATAATGCATGGGTTTTAAAATGATGCTACAGTACAAAGTCTGAAATCAGGGATCAGAACTATCCTGGCTCCGTCAAGACTTTAAAAAACAATACCTACCAGAACCTCTAAACCTTGCTAATTAAGTCTCAGACAAAACCCTTTGTAGCCCTCTGTAGTAAACACAACTTAATATTTTTAAAACTTGTTTATTTATACATTCTCGATCCAACGTGTTGAGTACGTGTTGGTTTCACTTGTGGAAAGGAGATACAGAGTGACTAAGTTATGAAAAACATGCCAGTCTCCTTTAGTATGTTCTTCTTTTAAAAATAACTTTCTTTTCATACATTCATAAATTGTTCAGAATGATGTGTGACAAATATATAACTGTAGATTCTTTTTTTTATAAATACAATCATTAGTTTCTTACTTAAGAATGCATATTACAGAACATTTCTTCAGTACATTTTAGTTACCAAATGTTTTCACCTGTCTTGCTTTCACGAGTGATTATAGGTGATGCACAGTAAACTCATGAGCTTCAGTGCAGCTCATAATGTGTTTGCTGCTTCAATTTGTCTTTTTAGTTTTTCATGTCCACTTTCCCCAGTCTGATTTCACAATGCAGAAAAAACATCTGTTTTTCAGAATCTACCAATCTATGTTCCCTTTTCATTAATTTACTAACACAGTTCGTAACCCCCAAATCATTATTTTCTTAAAACATCTATAACTGGTTAGCTTGTGTTGTCGTTTTGTTCATTTTGTGTCCCGCGGTCAGATTATTGTGTTTCTGTTGATGCAGTTACTTTCCCTTTAAGGTGAGGGGGTGGTTGACTTGTGTTGATTTGGCGTAGGCCTCGTAGAGGGAGGTGAGGCGGGCCTGGTGGTCTTCGGCGTAGGGGTTCAGCTTTACTCTCAGATCCTCAACGTATGGGGCGGCCATATCTCGAACCTGAATGGCTCTCTGAATCAGCTGATCTTGAACCCGCTCGGTCACGGGGGCCACACGCTCCTGGAAGTCCTGCAGGTGCTGGTCCACCTTCAGCTTCAGGTCATCGGTGTAGGGTCCGAGCTGAGTCTGCAGGTCCTTCACACTCTGCTTCAGCTCCTCGCTCTTCTGCTCTAGGGTGGCTCTCAGGGCCTCGGTGTCAAGGGACTCAGCATAAGGGGCCAGCTCCTGTTTGAGCTGATCCACTCTCTGCTGGATCTGGACCTTCATGTTGTCGGTGTAGGGCTTCAGGACGTCCTTGGCAACAGCCAGCTCCCTTTCCACACGCCCCTTCAGCTCTTCGGCCTCTGTGATGACTTTGTGGATCATGTCCTTAGTTGCAGGGGGAAGCTGCTCGTGCATGGCGAGCAAAGAATGGGCGGCCACATATCTAGTTCCTTCCAGACGGTCACTAGAAAGGAGCGAGAACAATGGGATGTTACCTTTAATTAGAATTCAGTGAGGAGAAATTGCATATCAGTTTGCAGTTTACTTTTTTTTGTTTGCATCATTAGAATGTCGACAATGGTAACAATGGTCTTGTCTAGACTTACTTGACACCCTGGCCAAACGGTGATTTCTTGATCATCTGGAGGGTGTCATCAGCTGTCTCTGTTGCCTTGGCGACATAGTCCCAGAAGGCCTCAGTCAGCAATTCTATCTGTGGCTTGGGTGCATCAGCATAGAAGATGTTGGCATTGCAGCCTGTTGAACAGACAGAAAAAACATTTTGAAGAACAGTTGGAAGGTTCAAAATACTTCAGAGTTTTCAGGTATTTTAACCCAAACAATATTCCAAAGGAGGCAAAGTGGCACTATACTTAACTTCCAAATCCAAGAGGCATGTGTGAGTGCGTGTGAATGAGCATTAGGTTAGATGATGAGCAGTCTGGCTCCTTATATGGTCTCCCATACAAGGTTCCATATCAGTACACACCAGTGTATGAATGTGTGTGTGAATCGGTTAATTTCACATCCAAGGAATTGTTGGGTGTTATTTAAAAGTGATTTGAGTGGTCCAATAATCTCATTGCAATTCTATATTTGTCCTTGAAGTCTTTTGACTTGAGCGTCACGCTCCAAAACAAATAGGGATATTTTTCCACCATACTCACCAGTGAAAACGGCAAGGACGAGCACAACAAGGACCTTCATGGCTCTTATATCTTA